GGAAGAAAAAGTGGCTTGTAAATATTTGCTGGAAGAATGAATCACTGAAGAATAAATGAATGATAAATGAATGTGCATGTAAACATGAAAAATGTGAAGATATGCAAGGTTAACTTAGTGTAATGGAAGAGAGTCACTTTTTATTTAATGTCTTTCTATAGATTGCTTTTAAATGTTTACAGGTATACATGCTATCTTCACAATAACAGAAAAAGTTAAGGATCCAAAGATATTAACAGCTTAAACAACACTGAAAGATAAAGGAAAGACAAAGAGAGAGTATTTGCAACATACATAACAAAGTAAATGCCACAAAACATAAAGAGCATTACTAATTAATAAGATAGAGATAAACAGCCAGTAAAAAGTAGTAACAGCCAAATGATGTGTGGCTGACAGTGGTAATCTCTGCCCATTGCCTATTCTTCTTTCTTACAAACAGAACTATATTAGGGAGTGGGACCAGCACTGTGTTTATCACTCAAAAGAAAATTATCAATGACCAAAAAAAAAAAAAAAGTGAAAAGATATTCAACTTCACATAAACAGAGAAATACAAATCAAAATAAAATACCTGATTTTTGCTCATAACACAGGCCAAAAAGAAGGAAAAGATTTTATGATCCAGTGTTGACGAGGACTTAGAAGAAGGCGTTCGCCATCAAAGTCAGTGGGAGTGCAAATTGGAACAGTAATTTGGGCAGCAATTTGACATATCCATCAAATTTTAAAATACATCACCTTGGACCTAGAAACTCCACTTCTAAAAATGTGTCCCACAGAATCCCTTCCACAGTCACCCAAAGATGTATATATGCCCAAGAGTGTTCACTAGAGCCTTGCTCATTAGCAACGATCTGGAAACAGTTTTATTTATTCATCAGTGGATCTGTGAACACGAACATGAGTCAAGATCTCTGCCCTGACAGAGCCTGCATTTGGCGCGGGGGGGGGGGGGGTGCGGGGAGCAGAGGAGACAGATGATAAACAAGGAAACAAGCATGATGCCTTCCAATAAACTGAGTGCTATAAAGGAAATAAAACAAGGTGATGGGATAGAGCATGTCTGGAGATGTAGAGGGGGGCAGAGCAAAAGGGAGGCTGTTGTACCTGGAGCCATGCGAAATGCCTCCCTGGAGGGTGACACAGAGTTAAGATGAGAATGATGAGAAAGAACTAGCTCAGCAATTGCAAAATAAAGCCCTGAGACACAACAGGAAGATGGAGGATAACAAATAAGGGGGTGAAAGGGATGTGATGAGACTGGAGAGAAGACCATGGTCTGAGATCATTTAGTCCTTGAGTCTCAGTCTGCAGATGAAGAGTCTGGGAAGCCACTGGGGTATAAGCAAGGAGGCACATGACCAGGTTTACCAGTTTTTGTTTTTGTTTTTTTTAGTGGTTTTTGCCATACATTGACATGAATCAGCCATGGATTTACATGTGTTCCTCCTCCTGATCCCCCCTTCCGCCTCCCTTTCCATCCCATCCTTCTGGGTCTTCCCAGTGCACCAGCCCTGAGCACTTGTCTCATGCATCCAAGGTATACCAGTTTTAAAAGATCACTCTGACTGCTGGGTGCAGAAAGAACTGTAGGAAGTAACAAGAGAGGATGAAGAGCAGTGAGGAGGTCCTGGCAAGGTGTACTGGTGGCTTACACCGGGTTGTTGGTAGTGGAGTGTAACAAGTGTCCGGCAGGGACATGTTTTGGAGACAGAGTCTATAGGATTTGCTAGCAAACTGGACTTGGAGTCCTATCAAGGATGTCTCCCAGCCTTGGGACCTGAACACCTGGCTGGGGTGGTGATGTTATTTTCAAAGAGGAGAAAACCTGGGGGGTGAAAGAAGTTTAGCAGAGAAAGTCCAGAGTCCATTTTGGCCTTGATGAGCTTGCCTGTCTTACGAGACAAGTTAGCAGAGATAAAGTTGGAAATTAACATATATATTCGCAATTGCACAGAGAAAAATCCGAGAGGTTATCCACCTAAGTGATAAAGGGATTCTCTTCAAGAAGTGGAATTGGGGGTGGGGGGTGGGAGAGGTGAAGCAGGAAGAAGTCACTTCTACATTTGACTGTATGTACATTAATAAGGTTGGAAATTGTTACAATGAATATGTATTACCTTTGAAATTTAAATAAATGAATACAAATAAAAGAAGACTGAGAGATTTTCAAATCTTTCCACAGAGAGTTTTCTTCAAACAAAATTTTATCTAGAATGTTCATCCCACTGTCATCATTCAGGCCTTAGCTCAAATAGCACCTCCTCAAAGAGGCCATCCTTAACCATGGGACCTCAAGGGGCCCCATCCATCCTTACCCAAGTCGCTCTATCCCACACCCTGTTTCACTGATACCACTTACAACCCAAAATTAAATTGTCATTTATTAGTTTACCTGTCCTCCCTACAAGAATATAACAGTCAAGAGAGCACGGTTGTTATATGTTTTGTTCTCCAAATATTAGGTTGGTGCAAAAGTAATGATGGTTTTGCATTGTTGAACTTTGCTGTTTGACTTTGGAATACATTCTTAAATATGGTTATGTTATAAATCATCTGAATGCATATTTCTTGCTTTATGTTTTTTTGCTAATGACATCACTTGCTGTTTATTTTATATGTATTTTAGAATATGACTTATTACTTGCTGTTTATTTTATATGTATTTTAGAATATTGAAATAATGTTAGACAAAAGCAAATTCTAGTGATTTCTTTTTATTTGCACTCAAAATGGGTTGTAAAGCAGCAGAGACAACTCACAACACCAGCAACACATTTGGCCCAAGAACTGCTCATGAATGCACAGTGCAGTGGTGGTTCAAGAAGTTTTGCAAAGGAGATGAGAGCCTTGAAGATGAGGAGTGTAGTGTCCAGCCATCAGAAGCTGACAACGACCAACTGAGAGCATGATTGAAACGGATCCTCCTACAACTACCCAAGAAGTTGCCAAAGAACTCAACGTCAACCATTCTATGGTCATTCGGCAATTGAAGCAAACTGGAAAGGTGAAAAGCTTAATAAGTGGGGGCCTCATAAGCTGACCGCAAATCAAAAACATCATCATTTTGAAATGCGTCGTCTTCTCTTACTCTATGCAACAACAATGCACCACTTCTCAACTGGATTGTGACGTGCAGTGAAAAGTGGATTGTATACGACAACCAGTGAGCCAAACTTGCACCCAAATGAGGGTCATGGTCACTGTTTGATGGTCTGCTGCTCATCTGATCCACTACAGCTTTCTGAATCCCAGCGAAACCATTACATCTAAGAAGTATGCTCAGCAAATGAATGAGATGCATAAGAAACTGCGACGCCTGCAACTGGCATTGATCAACAGAAAGGACCCGATTCTTCTCCATGACAACGCCCAACCGCAGTCGCACAACCAGTACTCCGAAACATGGTGGGCTACAGAGTTTTGCCTCATCTGCCATATTCACCTGACCTCTCACCAACTCACCACCACTTCTTCAAGCATCTGGACAACTTTTTGCAGTGAAAATGCGTCCACAACCAGCAGGAGGCAGAAAATGTTTTCCAAGTGTTCACTGAATTTCAAAGCACGGATTTTTACACTATAGGCATTAACAAACTTACTTCTCATTGGCAAAAACGTGTTGATTGTAATGGTTCCTATTTTGATTAATCAAGATGTGTTTCAGCCTGGTTAAAATGATGTGAAATTCACTGTCCAAAACTGCAATTACTTTTTCATCAATCTAATATCTCTAGAATGTACAACAGTGAGATGCATACAGTAGGCACTCCATAAATACTCCCTTGATTAAAAATGAATTCCAATTTGTATTCAAGATTCAAAAAACAAAAACCTGAGCAGCTTCAACTGAATTGAAGCCAGGGGTCCAGAGTCTTGCCACTGTCTCCCTCCCCACTTCCTTCTCACCACCACTGGGCTGCCTTAAGGTACATCCAGGCAACCCCCAGGGCCTGGCAAAAAAAACTGTATAAAACCCACAGGATCACCTGATGGCTCCGCTCTTTTCCAGTTCAGTCTGCAAGGGTCTGACCTGAGCCCTCCTTCTCAAGAAGCCTACCTCTCCCAGGTTCTAGCTAGCACGACCAGAATAGGTCTGGTCCAGACTCAGCATTAAGTTCCACCTGTCTCTTCCCATGATGCCTCCATCACCCCAACTGCTACACCCAAGTTACCATCCATGCCCACTCCGTGTTCCTGCTCAGGAAGGCACCCGCAAATGCCAGCCCCAGCTCAGCCCTGCAGTGGGCACGGCGGGCCCAGAGACAAGCAGCCCAGGGCCCTGGACTGCAGAATCAGCACCGGGAGACAATCCAGGCCCGCGTCCACACCAGCGGTGACCCTGACACTGGTGGCTCTCGCAGGCATGTGTCAAGTCCAGCGGGTCCCGAGTTCTTTGAGGAGCCTTCCAGATTGACAATTCCTGAGGTCGCACAGTCAGGGCTGGCTGTCTTTGTGGCACTCACGCTGCCTTCATGATGATGCTACTGCCCCACTTTCAAGAAAGGGAGCCATCATGTGTCTATCTTGCAGTGGCCACTTCAAGCAGGGGTTAGCAGGCATCTCTGAGCATTATCTTCTGCCCCTTCTGTGGTCCACAGGGGAGGAGCCCTTTTCCTCAGACTGCATCCCCCCCAGGCCTCAGCCCAGGCCAGGGGGTTTCGCCTGTGAGCCTGTTGCCTGCCAAGGTCCAGGCCGAGAAACTCCCAGCAAGAGCTCAACAAGGAACCAGGAGGGTGGCAGGTCTTAGCAACCTACAGAAAGGTCAGTCCCCACCACTCGGGGAACCTGCTCTAGGTCACAGCCATCCTCCAACGCGCAAGGTCTCCCTTGGCCATGGATATACCCCTGCTTCCGTGTGGGCTGAGGGCAGGAGACAGGGCTAAAGCCAGGAGGGACTAGAGCAGAGAGGAAGGCCCCTGCAGTCCTTACCACGGGCCCCCTTCCCAGGAGCCCCGCACGTGGCGCTCAGGGGCCCCCTGCTGGCCGCGGGGCGCATGTGTGACTCTGGGGTGGGGCGGGGCTGCTCAGGCCCAGGGCTGCTGCTGGGACCCAGAGACACCCCAGTCCATGCGGTGCACCCACACAGAAACACACATTCCACACCTCCAAGCAAGCATGTGCACACAGCCAGAGCCACGTATGCCTGGACGCGCAGATCCGAGCTCCAGTGTTCCAGCAGAGAGGGGACACAGTGCGCGTGCTCCTCCGCTCGCGCCTGCGCGTCTCCACAGACAGGCACGTTCACTCACGCAGGTGCGCAAGGCGGTGAGCAGGGCCCTTGTGAATCCTCGCCCTCCCAGCCACCACCTGGGAGAAGAGGGCCCCGTGGCTCCTGCCCCTCCGCACTCCTGCTCTGAGGGGGCAGGCGGAGCTCACTCTGTAGTGCGGGTTCCCCAGGGCCATCGGCAGGACCTCAGCTCCACCTGCGCACGGGACTCCCCCGCCTGCACACAGCCTCTCCTCACCTGTGGCCTGGGGGTCTGGGCTGCAAGTCCATGGTGGCAGCCGTGTGCCTCCGCAGCATGAGGACAAAGGCTGAGGGCCCTGGCTGACAGTGATCTCCCTGCTGGTTCCCATTACTTGGTAGGCAACAGCAGCCAGGGGACGGAGTCAAAAAACCTGGGAGCTGATGCTCTTGAATTCTCCAAGAAGTTGAGGCTGTAGGCAGACATCCCGGAGGCTGGGACAGGGGATGGGGGCTCCAGGGCTGGTAGAACCTCAGAAACCCAAAATGGAGAAGGAGCAAGGAAACACAATACCCTGAATGCCTGCTGTGGGCGGATATGTTTCCCACCTCGTCTGGTTCCAGCCTTACTCCCCCAGGAGGGGAGGAGTGTTACTAGTCTTCACAGCCTCCATAACAAGCCATCACAGGCCCGTTTTCTCCTTAAATAGCCCTCGGATTTTCCCACTGATGCACCAATGATTTCCCACTGATGCACCAATGCACTGATGCACCCTGAGCTCTTAGTTGGACCCTTTGCCCACGCTGTCTCATCCAACCCACCTCCATCATTCAGGATGACCAGTTTTAACAACACAAAGTTTTTAAATTCTCTTAGTGGCTTCCATGACTTCCTGTTCTAAAGACTGTGAAAACAAAATCTTCATCTCTGCTCTGTACCCTCACCTACCTGTCCAGTCTCACTGATCCCCTCTCACCCCTGAGTTCTTCCATTCCACACAGCTTTTGTCAATTTCTCCAGTGCCCTGCACTTTTTCCCATCTCAGGGAAGCAGGCTTCGTACCTGCTCTGCCTTCCCCCCCCCCCACCCCCATTCCCTTGCCTGATAAACTCCTCCTTCACACATCATGTCCCCCTGGAGGCCTTCCGTGCCCCGATCCTCTCTCCCTGTTAAACACTCATAACTCCCTGCAGTGTCCTGCCACAGCACACAGCAGTGCTTGTTATCAATAATTACCTATCTGTGCTGTTATATGGTTTCCTTCCGTCTGCTCCATCCCCTAGGCTCCCAGCTATCTGACGATAGAGACCTTGTCGCTTGCTCACTCTTTGATGCCCAAGTTCGTAGAAATCATACATGCTAGAGACAATGACATCCAAACCAGGTCCCTCTGCCTGCAAACAACGACCCCTAATTCAACAAGCTGCTCTGCATCCCAGAGAGCAACGCCAGGAAGGGGGACTAGACATTTCTGGATCCCGAGACGCAACTTTCTAGGTTAGTCCCTGTTTTGAATGATCCAATCCAGCCCATCCTTTCACTAGCCCCAGCACTCAGCAGGCCAGACTGTGTAAAAGTTTCTACCTGGGCAGGCCTGAATTATTCTCTTTCTTGGGCAAAATGATAGCTATCCGATTGGCAAAAGGCAGTGCTTACCTGCAATCTCAGGTTGGCAGATAAATAAAAATAAACCCAGTAATGAAAGAAACAGACCAGCAGATACATCATCTTGGGAAGGCAGGGGGAAGCTTTCTCACCATGAAGCCAAAAGCATACATAATGAAGAAAAGTGATCAAGTAAGAATGTTCAACTCCTATACATCTTTTTAGTCACCATCCAAAGGACAAATCAGGCTTTTGGAGCTCCTGAGAGCTTGTGGTCGGAGAACTCTAAAGTAAACAAGCCTCCTTGAGGCCGATTCATGATTCCCAGGGGCCCTTATTCTAAAATTTATTAACAGTTTCAAGACAGAGACAGCAGAGAATTAAGCCAACATCAGGGCCTTTCTAACTGGGCAACTACACAGGTCACACACCCACAGAGCTGGCCCTGCTCTTTCACACATACAGTTCAATTCTGGAAACATTCATTCACTAAGCATCTCACCTGAGCCCAGTTCTCGCCCTCACGAAGCCCAGAGGTGGAAGGTGGGCGATCACACAGCTGAGAAGACAACCCGATGTGTCTCTACTCCCCTGCGGGCAGGCGAGGTGGATGGCCTCCGTTCCAGATCCCAGAATCCCAGGAGCACACAGTGAGTTGTCCAGGTGCATCTGTCCTGGGGATGCTCTCACACACGGTGCCCCGTGGATTACTTTACTCACACTCCGCATCGGCCTCGGTGCCTTTTGGAGGAGGGAGTCAGAGAAAATCTGAACAGAGCTAGTCCTGGTACTTCACAGAGGTTTGGGTCTTTGGAGAGACAGGGGTCCCTGCTTGAGGTCCTCTGCATTCCCACATCAGCAAACTACCCTCCAACAGGACTTGTGATTGATATCAAGGTGGCTCTGCCTCTCTGTGCCAACAGGTGTCGGAAGTTTGAGGACTTCCTTTCCTGGAATCCTGAAGCTGCAGTGTTTTTGCCAAAGAAGATCCAGAGGAGGGATCAAGGCAACCTTCACCTCCCCACGTATCATAAAACCAGTCACCGTTTGTTGGTGAACCACTGTGCTGAACCAAGCACTGCACTGGGAACTTTTACATTTAACCTTCACGTGAGTTCCCTAAAGTGTGTCTTATCCCTGTCTTGAAACTCGATGAAGCTTGCTGGGTTTTGCTTGTGATTTAATTTAGCACTCACCACATACCAGGCACTATTCTAAAACATTTACAAATAATAACTCATTAAATCCATGTAGCCACCCTATAAAATAGATACTATGACTATTACTCCTATGTTACTTATAGGGAAACAGACCAGAGGGTGAAGTTACTCACTCAATGTCATGTAGAAAGTAACTGGCAGAACAAGGATGCAAACTCAAACAGACTAGCTTCAGATTCCATGACCTTAACTGTTACGTTGTGTTGCTTCTCCAAATTCAAAAAGCAAACAGTATAGACTGAAAGCTTAATTCAAGGCCTGGACTGCTATTTGTATCCGGGGTTTTATTCCATAGATATTTGCAAATGTCAGGTACATCATTCTTTCTAGGAAGCAGCTAACATGGATTAAAACTTTGTGCTGGGGATTGAAACAGTTCAGTTCAGTTCAGTTGCTCAGTCACGTCTGACTCTTTGTGACCCCATGGACTACAGCATGCCAGGCCTCCCTGTCCATCACCAACTCCTGGAGTTTACACAAACTCATGTCCATTGAGTCAGTGATGCCATCCAACCATCTCATCCTCTGTGGTCCCCTTCTCCTCCTGCTCTCAATCTTTCCCAGCATCAGGGTCTTTTCAAATGAGTCAGCTCTTCACATCAGGTGGCCAAAGGATTGGAGTTTCAGCTTCAGCATCAGCCCTTCCAATGAACACTCAGGATTGATCTCCTTTAGGATGGGCTGGTTGGATCTCCTTGCAGTCCAAGGGACTCTCAAGAGTCTTCTCCAATACCACAGTTCAAAAGCATCAATTCTTTGGTGCTCAGCTTTCTTTATAGTCCAACTCTCACATCCAGGCATGACTAATGGAAAAACCATAGCCTTGACTAGACATACCTTTGTTGACAAAGTAATGTCTCTGCTTTTTAATATGCTGTCTAGGTTGGTCATAACTTTCCTTCCAAGGAGTAGCATCTTTTAATTTCATGGCTGCAGTCTCCATCTGCAGTGATTTTGGAGCCCCCAAAAATAAAGTCTGCCACTGTTTCCACTGTTTCCCCATCTATTTGCCATGAAGTGATGGGACCAGATGCCATGATCTTAGTTTTCTGAATGTTGAGCTTTAAGCCAACTTTTTCACTCTCCTCTTTCACTTTAATCAAGAGGCTCTCTAGTTCTTCTTCACTTTCTGCCATAAGGGTGGTGTCATCTGCATATCTGAGGTGACGGATATTTCTCCCGGCAATCTTGATTCCAGCTTGTGCTTCATCCAGCCCAATGTTTCTCATGATGTACTCTGCATATAAGTTAAATAAGCAGGGTAACAATATACGGCTTTGATGTAACTCCTTTCCCAATTTGGAACCAGTCTGTTGTTCCATGTCCAGTTATAACTGTTGCTTCCTGACCTGCATACAGATTTCTCAAGAGACAGGTCAGGTGGTCTGGTATTCCCATCTCTTTCAGAATTTTCCAGTTTATTGTGATTGCACAGTCAAAGGCTTTGGCATAGTCAATAAAGCAGAAATAGACGTTTTTCTGGAATTCTCTTGCTTTTTCGATGATCCAGTAGATGTTGGCAATTTGATCTCTGGTTCCTCTGCCTTTTCTAAAACCAGCTTGAACATCTGGAAGTTCATGGTTCACGTATTGTTGAAGCTTGGCTTGGAGAATTTTGAGCATTACTTTGCTAATGTGTGAGATGAGTGCAATTGTGCTGTAGTTTGAGCATTCTTTGGCATTGCCTTTCTTAGGGATTGGAATGAAAACTGACTTATTCCAGTCCTGTGGCCCCTGCTGAGTTTTCCAAATTTTCTGGCATATTGAGTGCAGCACTTTCACAGCATCATCTTTCAGGATTTGAAATAGCTCAAACTGGAATTCCATTACCTCCACTAGCTTTGTTCATGGTGATACTTCCTAAGGCCCACTTGACTTCACATTCCAGGATGTCTGGCTCTAGGTGAGTGATCACACCATCGTGATTATCTGGGTCGTGAAGATCTTTTTCATACAGTTCTATGTATTCTTGCCACCTCTTCTTAATAACGTCTGCTTCTGTTAGGTCCATACCATTTCAGTCCTTTACTTTGCCCATCTTTGCATGAAATGTTCCCTTGGTATCTCTCATTTTCTTGAAGAGATCTCTAGTCTTTCCCATTCTATTGTTTTCCTCTATTTCTTTGCATTGATCGCTGAGGAAGGCTTTCTTCTCTCTCCTTGCTATTCTTTGGAACTCTGCATTCAAATAGGTATATCTTTCCTTTTCTCCTTTGCTTTTCACTTCTCTTCTTTTCACAGCTATTTGTAAAGC